ACATAGAGAATTATCACGACTTAGAAATCAACCACGTAAAAACTACAAAACATTCATCACACAATCTAAAATATTAAAGAAAGTTGAATTTCAAAAACAACTTTAAATTTAAAACTTAATAATCCTTGCACCTCTGGGTCATACTGAACTTTCATTTTTCAAAATAACATGCTAATAAAACACGCAACAATTCTAGTTCAGATTCAGCCAATAGGATTCATTCAATCTGTCACCTTCTATAACTATAGCACCAACCTATTAGCCGAAAGATATTAAACTCCAGGCATATCTATAACTATAACTTTACAACCTCCAGGTCAAAAATAAGCAACCCGCTAAAACTTGACAACTAAAATAAATACCAGCATAATATTATAACCCTCCCCTATCTAATAACGCAAAGATCAACAATATTTTCCCAACTCAGACCTCAAAAACCCTCCAACCAAAAATGGCAAATTAGCCTAAAGTAAAAAAAGGACCATATTCATTTGGCCTAAAGTACAAATATCTCAAAAATACCCCAGATCATCTGACAAATAAAAAGAAAGCAAAGAAGACCTCCCAAACACCATAAAATTAGCCCCCAACAACTTTTCACAAAAATCAACACACTTGTCAAAAAATCAATAAATAACTCGACCACACTTGAATCTCGCCTCAAACAACAAAAAATATTCGACACAGAAATCATTTCTTAAATGCTCTTCTCTCGATCAGTCAATATCTTTAAAAATACGATTTTCAACATTTTCATAAATTTTTTCATAATACTTAAACTTTCATTCATATTTCTATTTGATACCTTTGAAGCTTTTATAATAATTTTAATCATTTTTTGCAACATTTTTTAAAATTTTCTACTCCTTATTTGAAATATATCTCCAACTTTCCCAAATCATTAACCATATTCACAGGTACGATAACCCAAAGTTTATTTAAATGATACGAACAATTTTTAGTAGAACAGATATTTTTTTACTATTTGTAATTTTTATAACATTTTTGTCATCCCTAATATTGACAAAGTGCAAATGTACAAAAAAAGCCAATCATCACATTCGTTTTAGCAACAATTCTTTTAATTCTTTTCATTGAAGAATACTACAATAAACATAAATTTTTCCATTAGAAAAAATCAATCAAAATACTTTCAAAAATTGCTAACCAACAATCACAGAATCAGTCTTCACCGACATCATCCCAAGAAAACGCGACAATACCTACAACTACCCAAAACCCCCCAACATCCACACGAATTTCTTTCCAAGATAACTCATACACTTTTGAAGAACGACACGCTCGCTTATCTGAACCATTAGAACCAGTTCAGCGACAGGCACCCCTAAGTGAACCAACAAATAACTAAACCCAACATTACCACAAGAATTAAGTAGAATAAGAAACATTAGTCAAAACCAGAATACAGTTGACATAAATAGACAAATTATACATCCACGACGAAATAGAAATTTTCAAACCCCCCGAGTTCATTTTGACATACCGCAATCACCAACACCAATTACTCCAGAAAACCCAAATAGTACATTACCAGAAACTCCCCTACTCCTTTCACAACGTAGCACCTCAAGTATACCCTCAGATTACTTAGGTTCAACACCAACATCTGAACAAATACGTGAAAATTCCTTTAACCCCCCCAATCTCACAGCACGACTACCATATTGGACAACACACTCATTTACACAAGGTGAACCAATATTCTACGGATGTTTCTACGGATACAACAACATCATCATCACTACCAGAAACATTATCGCTACCATCAACACCTTCATATAGCCAGATTTCACCGACGCCTTTCCCTTTAAATTTTCCAAATAACCTCGACGCTAGATATCGAGAACAATCATCAACAAATACCCCTTTAAGATTAGATTGGAATACATTTACAGCACCCCCACCATTATTTGGACAACAACAAGAAAGTAACCGACTCCACAGTTGGGCACTCAATAGACTTATAGACAAGATATCCACGAAGACATTCGTGAACATAACATCCAAATACTCCAACAAAATAGTCTCCAATTAAAATTCGAAATCACGATTAAACTTAATAATATTGTTCAACATCCTTGTCCATTAAACCCACCCAATATAACAGCTCAATCGCTACCACCACCATTTATAACAACTGAAGTAAAATATAAGTACGACAGATATACCAAAAAGACAATTGGTTACATCACATTTTATAACCAATACTCAGGATTATCATACACATGTATAATCTAAAAATACTAACATTTCAACACATTTTTTTTCTAATATTTTCCGATCAGAACACAAATCTTTATCCTCGCACAGGACCCCAGGATTAATTAGTAACATACTACGATTGTGAAGAAAACGAACAAAAAAAATACACAAATATGCTATAAATCAAGTATCACAATGCGAAACAGAACCACAAGCTATAGAAACTACAAATGTAATAGCAATATTGTATTCAAAAGCCCGAGCAACAACAGTCACAGGATATAAATTTACAGCAATATTTTCCGAAAAGAAAGTACACTGTTCAAAAATCTCCAATGGAAATAAGAACCGACTTGATCACGAATAATTCTATCAAAGTAATATAGAACGACTTTTACATCTAAATCCCGATGATTGTAAAAACGAACTACTCAGACTAAACATCACAAGAAATAAAAACACGGACAGAAAAATAGTACATTTTCAAGTCTTTGCCGATTCTGTACATCAAGCAGAACTTGAAAGATATCAAGGACATATAAAACTAGATGAAAAATACCCATACAACGGAGCACACAGAAGATTAACTTATGACATACACGATAAACACTGGATACCACCCATTGGAATAAATAATCCCTCAAACTGCAAAGCAGACACAAAAAAATAAAGGATATCAAGAAATAATGTTTTTCGATTGGAAAATACAACTCGAAAAAGTACAACTCACACGAGATTTATCAGACAACACAATGCTCTATCAAGGAATTAGATTACCTTGCAAAAACGATCAAGGTTATTGTGACCCTACAACACGGACACAAGCAACAATTGTTTGGTTTCCCGAAGATACATGCACAACATTTCAAGTAGCGAAAATACACGCTCGAATGATAAAATTTCACGAAAAATATTTTATAGAATCCATTCCGAAAACAAAGTATTGATTTTAGAAATATCCATAAAATAGAAAATAAATTAACACGTTTCCAATTATACCAAGAAACAGAAATTGCATGCGAATACAGAAACCCACTTTACAAAACACAATATTCTGAAATATTAGTTGAATACGAAAAAGGTTTCAACTTGACCACTGAAAAAATAAAATTTGACCCTTATGCCACAGGTCACCCTCTAAACGAAGGAACATCATACAACCAGTTAACTTTCAAAAAAGCACAGGTCAACCTGGTGGAAAACTAAAGCCACATGACAGTAGAAGCACACGTTTAAAAGAACTATCACTAATGAATAACACCTATTTTGGTAATATCCACTAAGATATTCACTTAGATATGGAGTTAGACTACACAATTAGCCGAATTTTTCAAGAAATGTCACTCTCCGAATTAGAAACACTTCACCATTTATGCGAATTAGAACGTACACAAATCCTACAATCACTCGCACTAGCAGTATTAAAAATACCCTGCGCAGGATACTTATTGTCAGCAAATAGATCAAATTTTCTTGACTACGAATGAAATTTTTTATGGTTTTATACTTGTACCAAAATTTTTTTTTAAGATAAACGTTGTTATAAAAGAATCCCTATATTCTATAAAAATAAAGTACATTTTGTTGACACACTTTCAAGACGAACATATTTTTGGGATACCGCAGTCCCATGTGGATCAGAAAATAGCCACAACGTAGTACAATTGAATCCTGATGAAGACAAATATTATCTCCTTACTCCATACCCTACGTTAATGCAACACCTCAAAAAATTTTCACCCGAAAGCATCAGAGCTATTGCTCGTAACCCAAATATTGATTTACAATCAATTGGAATATATTCTAAATCAGATATCCAACACCACATTAAAACACAACAATTCCAAGAATTATTAACACAAATGAACACTATACAAAGACAGTCAATTGATCAAAATTTAAGAAAACTTGCCAAAACCGCAGGATTTGCAGATATTTATACACAAGATTATAGCGGATATTTTAAAGACATTAAAGACTATATATATTTAAACGGTGAAAAATACAGACCACAAGATATTTCACCTATAAATATTTTCAGTTTTGTCACCCTTAAAAATGAAATTCTAGTTTTTCTAGGATGGCCCTATTACATCTTAGAAAAAAATAACTATCTTATACGCAATATTTAACTTTATAGGATTTCTTTTCTCACTCTTAAAAGGAATCTATAAGACATGCGCTATACACACACAAGTAAATAGACAAGCAAGTGTAGCACGCATACTGTTTGCAGGATTTTTTTGAATTTTTCATCATCAATAAACAAAATACTTCTAGACGCACAAATAAAAGAATATAACACAAAAATAGCGACAAGACAGAACACTTACGACGAAGAACATAATAATATAGAAGTAACACCTACCGCACCACAGTTGCCACCCCTACTACAAAACCATCCATTATCATTAGTCCCACGTAATTTCCGAAACCTAGCAATAACAAATAACTCAAATTTTAGACCAAATATACCACAAAGTCCCATACAGCATATCATGACACATCATTCACAAGATGATAATACATACAAACAATTTATAGAACAACCCCATACCAACACTTTTTAGTCTCAAAATAATCATTTTTTAGCCCACGATGAGCCGACAACTTGGATCCCTACACCACTCAAATTCCCACCCAGCCAACCTCCAAACTCCAATTCTAATAATCCCACTTTTTGCTTTCCCACCACCCGATTTTCCGATTATTAATATATCATCAAGCACGAATTCTGATACTAACTCAGATATTTCAGTTTTTTACTCTATCTCACAATTTAATAAGCCTAATGTAGAAACCCCTGACAAATTTGCAGACTCCGAACCATCTCCATCAAATTATACTCAGACCAACTCCTCCATTTTTTTTAAAAACCCCTTTTTCAACCAATCCCATCAAACCATCCACTCCCATCCGTTTCCACTCCTTCTTATGCTTCGCAAGTGACCCCAACCTATTCTCCACTTCATTCCGACAGATCATATAATAATTCCCCAGATACCCCCCAAATTTCCCAGGAATTTGATAATTTTATTACCCTACAACAACAGTTAATACACCCTAACACCCTCACAATACATCAACTTTCATCCAAAATAGAATCCTCAAACCCACCTACTCCTATACCCTACCCTCCTCAGCTTCAACTGCATCGTTAGCACAATCATCCACATCCACCGAAACACCTAGTAGCACTAACCGAGCTTATCGCACTTTTAAAAAAAAATTCCCGAAACCGCAAAAAATTCCAGAAACATCTGTCTGAAAATATTTTCAAAACTTTCAAACTTCTGCCGGTTTGACAACGCAAAAAAGTTAGAATGAAGGATATCAATGAGCTTATATCTAGATACTATTGTCAGTAGTACCTAAGACAAACTTTACTTCTGAAGTCCCAACGTTAGCAACGGAACCATTCAGTATCCAAACAAGACTATTAAAAGTTTTTGATAACGCAAAAGTCGTTCGAATGAACAATATCGGTAAGCCTAAACCTAGAAACTAGAGAACTTGCGAGGGCATACGAACTCACAAAACATTAGTTCTAATAGATGAATACTTTGACAAAAATTAAACTTCAATTTTTTTTATCAAACCTACACATAAAAAATTCCCATTGATGGGTCTATTAAATCCTTTCTATAAAATCATTGGTATTTGAAAAAACTTCTCGAAAAAAATCCCATTAATAGGTATATTAGTTTCTTCCTATGAAAATCATTGGTATTGACACATGTGCTAAGTTGTATAACTGCTTAATAGGCGTAATAGTTTAATTTTAATTTATTATGATATCTTTCTTTATTATCAATTGTTTTAATAACCAACTGGTTCTTTTTGAATTGACACTTCGGTAAGAAAGTCATCGTAAGACAATCTTTTTGGAAAACGAAACTTCCAAAACAGTTTTATTGATATTGGGATACGTAAAAAAAACCAGCTGCAATAACGACAACAAATTTGGTTTTTTATGTACAACTAATCACTTGCCCTGATTGGAGCTTTTTTCCGGTTAGCAATTTCGCTGCTTTTTTTAGGACAATTTTACGCCCCTTTTTGTCCCGACTTTCGATACGAAAGTAACGGAATATTTGTGCTCGGGTGGTTTTTTTTCTTCAGACAAATTTCGACTTTTTAACTAGCCATTTTCGACGGAATTTTTTTTATATAATTCAAAGCTATTGTTGTCTTGAGCTCAAATTAGAAAAGATATTTCACCTGTGATCGTTTTTCGTAAAGTTATAGGGGTTTAAAGATTGCCATTTTGGCCAATTTGGGACAATTAACGCGCGATATATTTCGCGCTATTAACGCGTAAGCGTAGATTTAATCCGTCTTAGAAATCGTTCCAAGTTGGTTGAAGGAAGCTTGTTTGCCATAATTGATTTGTTACTAGAAGCGAAATTTATCACTTTGTACTTTATATGACGTGTGGGAGGGGGGGGGGGGGGGTGATTTTCACAAAAAATCTCAACTTTTTTCTAAAAAAAGTCTTTTTCATTTTATCTTCTTTTTTACATTCAATTTTTTCATGTTATTACTGCTCCATAAACCTTAAAAGGCAGTCGGAACATTCAGGGCTTTGCCTTGATACGAGCAGTCTTGTTGACATTTCAAATCTACAGATCAATTTTTATTCTGGGTTTGTTTGTTCTTTGTGGTTAAATGTTTTTGATTTATATATTGATTCTAGTTTATGCGCGTAGAATACTGCAAAGCCTTTGAAATTTCACATTTTTTCAAACGCATCCTGATATTTAAAATGCTTTTATAGAATTCGAAGCAACAGAAAAAGTATAATTTCAATTTCAAATATTGATTTCTATAATTATGGATTTCTGAATTTAATTTTTTGCCTCTAATAAATTAATCAACTTATTTTCAAAGCTTCAAATTAATGACAAGATGAAGAAGAGCTTCGCACCTCTTTCAATACAACACAAGGAGACAAGCCTAATGAGCAACAAAAACTACATCATCAATACATAAAACAAAAACGAAAAACAAACGAATCCAGAAGTGATTAGGCACACGCCCGTTGGGTCAAATCACAATGGTCTTAGGAAAACAGAGGCTATAGTCGAAGTTTTTAGACCCCACCTTCTGAAGTTGACAAAACAAAATAACGTTGTTTTTGACCTTCAAGCAGCAGTATAAGGTGCAAAAATTATGAAAATTAGGCCGAACTATTCAATCCGAATAAACATTTGAGACAAAAAAGTAACAAGACTGCTCGTATCAGGGCGAAGTCCTGAATTTTCCGACTGCCCTTCAAGGTTTATGGAGCAGTATTAACATTAAAAAGTCAATGAAATAGAACAAAATGAGAAAAAAAATTTTCTAAAATTTAAAATTTTTAATGAAAATTATCCCCCCACACGCCATATAAAGTACAAAAGGATAGATTTCGCTCCATGTAACAAATCAATTATGGCAAATAAGCTTCTTTCAACCAATTTGGAACGATTTCTAACATGGATTAAATCTCCACTTACGCGTTAATAGCGCCAAATATATCGCGCGTTAATTGTCTCAAATTGATCATAATGGAAATCTTTAAACCCCCATAACTTTACGAAAATCATCACAGGTAAAATATCTTTTCAAATTTGAGCTCAGGACAACAATACCTTTCGAATGATATAAAAAGATTCCGTCAAAAATGGCTGGTTAAAAAGTCGAAATTTGTCTGAAGAAAAAAAACCCACCCCGAGCACAAATATTCCGTTACTTTCGTATCGAAAGTCGGAACAATAAATAGAATGTTATGTAAAACACTAGCTTACATGACGAAATCAAAAAACTTTCCAACTATTGTAACTTCCTTTCAATCATTTTTGAAAAATTCTATGTTGTGGAAAAAAGCCGATGAAAATTAAGCGGACAAACGATAAATTTTTCAATTTCAAAATGTTAACTGGGAAAAAACATATATTGCAATTTGATAAAGTTTGCTAATCGCACGACTGTTACTAACTGGAAAATCTTAAAAATTCGATTTGAGAAACAAACAATTTTCCAGGTGAAAATGAAGAGTATCAAAACTCATCTTTGAAAATCGATTTTTCAAAATTTTAACAAGCTATAATAATTAAGTATAATACCTGAGAACCTTTAACTTACTTAGTCATTATCATCTGCCCGTAGTCTGGGAACTCTAAAAAAAGAAACATACCTTGCAAATAAATATGCATGGCAATTTTCCCTTCATACTGACTCCACATACAGAAAGAGAGAAGATTCAGAGCCAATCCCGCCCACCCTAAGAAGAAAGTGACCGTCATTATTGCCCTCGAAGCAGTGACGTTGTGGCAGTTCATCTCACCGTTGTTATCATCCGTGTACTCCATTTGTTAGAAATTACTAAATAGTTGCGCTTATTAGGATCGGTTGTGGATTTAGGGAGAGATCGTACATCTTCCTCTCAGCGTTTCGAACACCTGCCACTCTTGCCCCCCCCCCCCCCAAGGATAACTTCCTTTTCAGGTCGACTCACTTTAAAATTACTCTGAAACACTATTGGCAGCTATGAAATCTTCAAAAAAGTTCCCTAAAAATATAAATTAAGATTGAATTCAGCAAAACTGCTCATATAATAACTGAGCATGTTTGTTTTCAAAAATCCTTTTATTGGGGTTAGTTAGCGGCATATCTGATTACTTACACTTTTTTCCAAGTTTTAAGTCTTTCCCTTTTTGGAAATTTTTTAAAAACGATGTATAAACCTTTAAGCCTACTTTCCATTAATTTTGCATGCACTCGTGCAATTTTCATAGGCAAAACCAGCAATCGCCGCTGCGAAAATTTTAAAAGCACTGATCACACCAGAACAGAAATAAGTACAGAAAAAATTCAAATATTTTTTGTAGTAGAATGTATAATCTATATTTCTTGCAAATGAAAAGCAAATCCATTTTGCTGAATTCATGCATAATGAATTCAAACCTTGTAAGAAACTTGCAAGAAAAAAGTGAAAATAATTTTTCTTGGGTAAGATTTGGAAGAAATCGAGCACGATTTGCATTCCGACAACATTGCGGTTGTTGCAAAGTTTCATAAATAAATAAGTACTTTCTCCGCTTGAAAAAGTGCTCTCTATGCTTTGGTTTTGCGTAAACTTACCGTTAAAATAAAATTGATAACTTATTTTAATAAATATATGATGATTACTTTGATATCAAGTGGCTTCTATTCGCGCATTCATATTTGACGTCTGTCGCAATACCAATGTCGCTTAGGCTGCTATGTTAAGCTTAACATCTTAATTCATTTCTTCGCTGCAAAACCCGATACAAACCCAGCAATGTTAAACAATTTGATTACCGAAACGTTTCTAAGCTCCAGTTTGATAACGCTTGCTAATCTCAAGCGCAAGCATTCTCTTTAATTTTAACTACCTCAAATCATCAACTTTGTGGTGTTTTTTTTCTGCCTTTTTGGATAACGTATTCATGAATTCCTTAAAAAGAAAAAATATTTAGACCAACAATAAATGTTGCCAGAAAATTAAAATTCTTTATTAACTTCAAAATTAAAATTACGTTTAAAAAAACTGTTTTCAGACTGAAAAAACCTACAGCAGCTAAGTAAAAAACGGTTAAGCTATTTACCTTGAAAAACATTGCAACCAAAAAAAAATTCTGAAAATCGCGTTAGCTTTGTTTATGTGGATCTTGTTAACTATTTACCCCCCCCCCCCTTTTTGGACCTTGTTAACTATTCCATCCCCCCCCCCCCTATGCATTATGCATATTATTTTTGACAACCATTTCTGTATAAAATATGCATTTCAAAAATGTTAACAACTAAGTTTTCATTTTCGCGCATTCGTATTTGTATTACTCACTATTTTTAAAATACCCACGTATAAATTTTAAACATATATATTTTCTGAAAATTGTTTTAAAGCTATTGAAAATGGGGCCGCCAAAGTTGAATTTCTGAAAATCGAAATAGGGGGAAATATTTAACAAGATCCATTTCTGTCTGTCTGTCAGCCGTAAATAGTCTGTGGATGCAACCAGACTCTCACAAGCAATGTCTCCAAAATACGCTTCTTAACATTGTTTCAACGTTCACTATTTCAAAAAATTTACATATTTCGGCAATTAAAATTTGTTTGTCTATGTTTTAATTGAAAAAAAAAAAATGTTTCTCAAGATAGACATGAACTTGCTTTTTTAATCAGTTTTTTCGGGTTTAAGTTCGACATCAACCTCTCGAAAATTTCGAGCCAAAGCAGAGTAGACAAAAAAATTGTCCCGACATGTCTTAACAGCGATTCTCGCGCAATTTTTTATGCATCCTAGTCAAGAGATAAAAACCAACTAAATAGAACTTTGGTTTCTATTACTCAAAAAAAAGATAGTTAGGCAATGGAAAAACTTGTGCTAAAGCAAAAGTTTATTGGCTTTAAATTATGAAATAATGTTATTTTCATTCGACCTTCAAACTTAATTATCGTTTTGGAAATTCTAGCAATCAAATTGAAAATCGATTCCTTCAATCGCTTGTTCGGCCTATTTGCTAGCTAAAACTGTTGCTGTATACTGATAAGTGCCATATTTCATTTTCTGCACGTTTTTTAAACAAAAAAGGACAATCATTGACACAGGTGAAGCTCTGCAAGAAACGAGAAAGAAGCAAGAAGAATATCTTTAAAACACGTTTTTCTTAAACTGGGTTGACTGTAGACAGAAAAGATTAAGATAAGCCACTTAAAAAGCAGAATTTTTTTGGCGCAGTTTACTTTGATAAATTCGGGCCCAAAATTTACCCTTCAGTCGATCATTTTTGCTTTTTTAGTCATTTAAAAACTGCACAAAAACTACCCGATCCATTGGTGACACAACGAGGCCAAAGTGAGTCTCTTACGTATCCAAACAAAAATTCAATATGAGATAGTCTTCTTAGTTTTGAAGAAAAAATTTGTTTCCGGAAAACTACAAAAACATTTGGTATACATTTGAAACTCAAGCAGAATAGTTTTTGAAATAATTATATAGCGCCGCATCAAAAATAAAGAAAAATAAAAAATGAATGCGAACGTGGTTATATCTTCAGTTTATCGATAGATAATTAGACCACCGAATTTTTTATCTAGAACGAAAGTTGTTTGCATTAAATTTGGATGGAATGGGTTAAATTACATATTTTGCAGAGAAATGAGAATTATTTTGAAAAAAAACTTGAAATAAAAATATTCAAACTTTGTCTGTTGGCTGAAAATTAAGAAAACTTCAACAATTTTTTTAGGCTAAATATTTACCGGAAAAAAAATCTGTCGACTTCAGTAATTTCCTTACTCCTTCCGACTATTTCTTTATAGTAAAACATCGACCCCCTTTGAAATTTAGAAAAAATACGATTTTTTTAAGAAAGAAAAAAGCCCCCTAAAAATCAAGCAAAATTTAATCACACCAAACTTTTTTCTAGAGGAACTGTACAAAATCTCTCTGGTTTTAAATGTTTATTTACACTCTTCATTAACGCTAGTGGACGAGCTAAAAAAGTTTTCCAAGTCCATTGAAATTTTTTTTTCAAATCCATGGAGATCTTTTACCAAAGTTACGTTTTAACAATTATGCTGGACAGCTCCCTATAATCTGTTCTTTTAATTGAACCCTTGATCTCAGATTTGCCAGGGTTGTTTTGAAAAGTCCGAAAAATGTGGTTCAATGTGTCCAACACTGGACACTTGCCACGTCCAAAAGGGACTATCAAGAAACTAAAGGAGCATCCAGTGATGCAGCTGAAAATCTTACAACCCGTTCATTCGATTGAACTTGAACTTCAAAATTGACAGGGTAGTTTTGGATAAAAATGGACAAAGTCCAAAAAGTGAGACAAAAGTCGAAAATTAGACAATCCCAAATCCATAGCGGTTTCCGCATCAGTATGAAGAATAAATCGCTGACTCTAGGGCTTATGCGGTGATGGTCCGTATAATCAACTCTTTCAATTGAACCTTTAATTCAGATTTGGCAGCCTCCTGAAAAAAGGGGGAAATACGAAAAAAAGTTCAAACTCTCAAAAACTGAATTTTTCCCAAGCCCATAGCGGTTCATCAAAAACAAAAAAAGAATCCTGTTCAAATTAGGGAAAATTTACTTTGCATGGGCAAGGGAGCTCCCAAAATAAGTTTTTCCATTTTAAAAATTTTCTTAGAATCGGCAGACTTGTTTTGGCGAAAGGGAACAGAGCTGTTTTTTCAAAATTTTGCCTGCGTCGCTGAAATTTTGGCCGAAACAGGGTCTTTAGAGTGCTTTGGGAGAGATCAGACAGAATATCAATTGGGTTGACCTAAAAAAAAGGTCGACATATTTTCAAAATTTTTTTGAAAATCCACCCCCTCCCCCCCACGATAAAATCCTAGATTTGCCCATGATTCCAGGTGAGATCTCTCAAACTTGTTTTTTCTTGAACCCTTTCAAAGGTTTAGAAAATGGTTTAATAGATCCTCAGCCACTGGAACTGAAGGATAGCCACTAAGTCCTGAGAAAACAAAAAAAACTTTTCGATTATATCAAAACTAAGCTCCAAAACGTTGTCTAGAAAGATGTTCTATTTGCTGAAAATACGTTCAAAAACACATTCGACGGCGTTTAAGGAAAATTCAAAAACAATTATCGAGCGAAAACAAAATTGTTGTCAAGAAACACTTTCAACTATAAATTTGAACAATGTTTTTAACTCTAAGAGTTTCCGGAGCAAAGCATTTAAATTATAGTTCCCTCGAAAGACGCAAAAATTTGGTTACTAAGCCAATAAAAATTAAGCCGAAATCATTAAGCCGAAAAAATTTTTAAGCGAAAAACGAAAAAGAAATTATACGAAGTCAACGCTAGTAGAATAACAAATTGCAGGAGTAAACGAAATCATAAAACGCACCTACAATAAAAACTGCATACAGCAAAAAAAAATCTAAGATGTGGCAACTAAGCCGACAAAGCATAAGCAGACAAATACTAAGCTGACAATTTCTTCGAAACGGAATATTTACCGTTTGAAAACAAATCAGGTCCTCGTCAGATTCGAACACGGGACATTTGTCGTCCCATGCGTATTCCTTGCCTTCAAACTTTAATTAGTATACGAAAAATTCCATTGATAACATCCGATCCTGCCCATGTTCGAACACTCTTATTTTTTCGCGGGTCTCCTTCCCTACCTCGACGCTACTGATCCATGATTCCTTGAAGCTAAAGTGCTATTTATAATATAATGGTGTGGTAATATCCTTAGCATTGGCTTTACTTAAAAGCTGGTTATTGGTCAAAATGAACATTTTCAAAATGAACACATTTTGTCGCAACAATATTTGCGTCCAACAATATTTGCAACTTAGGTTAAAAAAAAGAGAGTTCATACTATCACACAAGCTTTGCTTGCGCAATAACGCTTGCTTATCGCAAGCATAAACATAGACATCAGAGAGTTGGAAAAGAGTCAATGAAAGCAAGTTAACAGAAAAATTACTTTAAAGTTTCAAGGAAAAAAATTTAAAATCACACGTTGCGGCAAGAACTTGAAGCAAGAAGAAGTTAAGCACGGATAATTTTAACCAAAGAAACAAACTGAAAGAGAAAAATCAAATGTGAGCCTGAACAAATTTCAAGACTATTCCTGAAAAAAAAAGAAATCATCACGGCCTGAGCTACGCTCATCGACTCTTGAACACGGAGAACACAAAAATATTTGATGATTCTATAGACTGTAGACGTGGAAAAAAAGTTCAGTTGAAAAATGTCCAATGTTGCGATTTGATAACGCTTGCTAATGGCAAGTGCAAAGAAAATCGAATATTGAATACATTTGAAAATGAAGGATTAGCAAAATTTGAATTCATATAAATCTTTTTTCATATATAAAAACTTACACATGTATTTACAAATATCAACAACAAATTATCTATAAACAATATTTACAATTATCATATTGCAGCTTTTTTTATGAAGTTTTTTTTACAGAATGAGTGATTATTTTTCATCGTTATGATAGAACAGTTGAACTCGAGGCTTGTAACTTCTAACTGGACCCAGTAACCACAGAAGTACATTGCTCGTTCCGAAAAGTTCCGAGAGAGAATCGAACAAGCTTTGCGTGGGTTTCACCTTTGGTAGGCGGTCTTTGTTTATTGCGACTTGAAAGCCAGTTAAACCAGTTCTTACCATGTGAGTTCTTTGGCAGAAAAATTGGGTAATGCAGACAGAAAAACCGGCTGAAACAAAATAGAAAAACACATAATTGAAGCAGAGCTTGAAATCTAGTTTTGTTGTAATGTGGTAAATTAATTTTTTTGAAACGGAAAAAATTATGGAATTTTTGGTGGTTCTGGTAGCTATTTCAAGATTCCAAACTTGCCCTACATATTTAATTTGTTTGGTTCAAGTCAGGAGCGGATCTAGAAATTTCTCGAGAAGGGGGCGGATTTTCAAAAAAAAAAATTGAAAATTTTGTCGACCTTTTTTTAGGTCGACCAAATTGATTATCTGAGCTCTCCCAAACCACTATAAAGACTCTACTTTGATGAAATTTCTGCGCCGCAAGAAAATTTTTGAAAAAGGCCAAAAAAAACGTTTTAGGCGTTTTTTTGGAAATTTTCGACTAAAAAATCGCGTTTTTTTCGGCGCGCGCTCCCCTCTCAAAATTAGTATAGATTGGCACCGACGGCACCTTTAGAAAAATTTTAACGTCAGTCAGCCCAAAATAGATATCTCAAAATAATCCAAATCCACTACTGGTTCAAGTAATTGCATTCGTTGAAAATAACTAACTATTTTAGCGCTGTAAATGACTATTTTCAATAAAATTTCACAAGAAATTCTATTATAGCTTTGAACAATTTAAATTGTGCAATACCAACCAGACGGTTGAAACTTTTTTTTCGTAAAAAATATTTGATCAAATTAAATCAGCAAAAAAAAACATTTTCATCGCTGAACATAACTTTTTTCAAAGCAACCTGAAAACTTCAATATTCCAAGCAGATGTAGCTCAGAATACCACAGCAGAGACCCACAAAATATGAATTGAGCTGATACGCGTTAAAATAACAATTAAGATAAAAAACAACAAAATTTACGGTTCGAAATGTCAAATTTGTGCAAAAAGCCTGTAACAATTTCATCCCCTATCACAACCGGTTTAGCAGGAGACTAAATCAGCGAAAATAGGGAAAAATAATTATGTAAGTCAGTTTAAGAGGCAGAGCTCAACTACGCAAACATCAGCAACATACAACAAAAATTGCAGGCATGGAAACGTCACAAGATCCTAAATAAAACAAGGATAAACGGTGCAAGTAGCTCAGAATGTTCCGACCATAGTCTTAAAAAATACAAAAAAGTTTTTCAAACTGTTGTTATTTTTTTCAGCATGGTGTGATAAAATGAGCTGAACGGAAAACTAGAGGTTAGGCATATTGGACATTCAAAATTAAATAAGCAGATAAAAAAATTTGTAGAAAAACGAGAAAAAAACATTAAAAATCAAAAAAAATTTCTGAGGCGCTTAAATAATCAAAAAGTTAACGTTACTCGAGTAAAACTAGGTATTTACCAATTGAATTAACCTATTGTAAGCTTTGAAGCCTTTAAAACAAGCTATATTCGCTCGCTTTGTTCGGTCGAATTAAGACGAAAAACAAAAACTTTCAAACCGGTTTTTCTCGTCACTGGGGAATATTTTTTGAAACTGTTCATTGTGTTTCGAACTCATATATCACTCAACCCAGTCTGATGATTTTTTGTGTTACCTGATTTTGCGTGGAAAACAAGGATAGCCGGTTACGGTGCAATGGTACAAAATATTCCGACAAACAAATAAAAACAAAAATAAAACATTAAAATTAGTGTCGTTTTTTTGGCGTGGTGTGATAAAAGAGCTGAACAAAAAAAACCGGAGACAAGGAAAAAAATTCAACAAATAAGCTAAATGAAAAACAATTTTTGAAGAAAAATTATTTGAAAAACCAAAACAACCAAAAAAAATATTTTCAATGGTCGGAACAAAAACTAAAACACAGCCGAATACAAATTTACTCCCAATATTCAATGGTCGGAAAAATTACAAAGCTTTTAAATAAAAAAGTTGAATCACTGCTCACCTTACGTTGAGTAATTTATGTGTTGGTTGGTTATGGAAAGAAAGCTACTTAACCGAAGAAAAATTCAAAGCGCATGGTAGTATTACAACTATTGATAGTGTATGACTTCGTTGACACAAGAGTTAAACAAACCTTATAGAAAGATGCATTTGAGCCAATTTAAAATAAGAAAAAAAAATATTAAGACACTTTATACACAGAGGCACGAAGTTGCACTTCGCATACACAAGCAAAAATATGGCCGATAACGCTACAGGGAAAAACTGAATGAGTAAAACTTTGACTCTACAAAATCTCTAAAGTCACGCACCCCAATTATGAGTCTACATAATTGCTAAGTGACGTAAGCCAATTATGACGCATTAGCAGTACCAGTCAATTTGAAAAAAAAAAAGAAATTTACCAATTAACATGCATCACTTTATAGAGCGGAGGCATTTTAGCTAGTATACGAAAAAGTTCATTAAAATCTCCCCCCTAAGTGACTAACTGTAGCATTTACCGCCAAGCCGCGTATTAAAATTGAAAATTAATTCAGTATGTATGCATTTCGAATAAACGCGCACATAAAATTAGTCATCACAATTTTTATGTGAGATTCCAGTTGAATGCTGTTAATAATCTAAGCTAACTTTTTTTAAATCAATTTTCTCTAAATGAACTCAATTTTCTATAAATCTAAGAAATATCCAAGTTATTTCTTAAAAAATCCATTTTCTCCCCCCCCCCCCCTTTAAATCAATTTGGGAGGGGGGAAACTGTACGGTTGATCCGTCTGTGTTAATATCCTTAGCATTGGCTGTACTTAATAGCTGGTTATTGATCAAACTGAGCATTCAAAAGGAACACATTTTGTCGCAACATTTGCGTCGCAACAATATTTGGTTGAAAAAAAAAGAGTTCATACTATAACACAAGCTTTGCTTGTGTAAACATATCGTACGATAAAAATTATGCCCAAAGACATCTAGCTGAATATGGAGGCTAAAAGACAGAGATCAAAACTGACATGAAAAAAGTGATTAAAGCTGACATGAAAAAATCGAACTGAATAAGAAAATAGTTTCCCCCCAAAAAACTGATACTTTTTCAAGCAGCACGCGCCCTTATATTTTGTCTTTAAAGACCTTACAAAATCGACCGTGAGAAGCAAGTGTTTGTCGCACAAAGATAAGCCCAGAAAAAAAAGGAACCACTTATAATTTACAAGCACAAGAACATGCTTGGTTAACTTACTGACAAATTGTAGCTGTAGAAGAATGAAGGGAACTTGTTTTAAGGAATTGAAATACGTCTTTTCTTCCTCTTCAAGGTTCCAGTCATCCCAACCATCGTCTTCGTCGTCATCAGATTTGCCCCATCGATCGTAGTAGTAATAAATAAGCGCACAGAACATTAAAACGGTGAGAGCTGTGGCGTAGAATATGAGGAGAGAGAATATCCATTTGTTGTCTTCTCCCACGCAGTTTTTGATCCACAAGCAGTGATGGTCGAATTGTCGGATACCTAGATCCATAAAAACAAAATAAACTCAAAGAATGAAAAGACGACGGACTGCATAAGTAAAAATCAGCATATGAAAATCACGAACAGATAATTAACGTACGCACTTGAGAAAAGCAAAAACAAGTACAGTTTCAGCGAACTAATTATGTCCCAGTAAAAGTCTTTCAACTTGAGAAAATGTGAACTTTCCGGCTATTTAGTCTTGGATGCAATAGCCGAGACATGCCAAAGTGCCATATCTCTAGTTAAGAGAACTTAACGTAATATATTTTTAAAGGCAAATTTTAAAAATTTTCCTATCTATTCGTGATCCTTCACATTGGATTTAGACAGGCGAAGCAGAGCTTCACAAAATTGTAAACAAAAACTATTGAAATTAGCCAACAGACAGTTCGATTTTTGTAGCGCTTTTTATCTTTCCAATTTTGAGGAAAAACTATATATATCGTTACAGCTCTTTGACTTTCAAGAATCTTTTACATCACAATTTTTTCATAGAAGTAACCTATTTAGACTATTTTGAGAGAATTGGACCAATAGAGAACTTTTGTTCCACTGAGATCTCTTTAAAGGAGTCCATTTAATTTTTTTCACATCATTTGCACTTTGTTATTGGAGAGCATATTATACTTCTTGTTTAACAAATGAATATTAATTGAACTAAAAGAGAAATCAAAAACCAAAAAGCTAAATAGCAGACTTGAGCGTGAACCAATTTTTCCTAGAGAAAAAAGCTGGGGTAATCGGGATGGTGTCCCACTCTTTAACCCCCTATGTTTACACCCCCTACTTTATAACCCCGTAACAAGATAACCCCACAACAATTTAACCCCCTTTTAATGACGATAATTTGTTTCAAATTAACTCCTTTTATTAAGTCCTTTTACACTCCTAGTAGTATTCCAATTAGGTGTACTATTTGAGGCCAGAAGCCATTCTTAATTCACTTCATGCATTAGTCGCTGAAAAATAATTGCATTTCGATTAGCTTAAGAAATAATCTCTCAATCAGGCGTTTAAAACAGATAACCTACATGGTGCTAATTGAAGGCAACACAAGACGTTTGTGAGTTTTATTGAAAAATCAAATAGCCTATTTCTTTACCCTTGTTATACCACTCTATCAGATATAATGTTCGGAGCGTCTTTCCATTTTACTTTATCTTCGAAAGACAAACAAATACTAGTGGTATCAGGCCATGAGTATTATCTTAAACGCAAAAACAAATGCCGCGCAACAGCAATTACGGATAGAGAAAATTTTATTGAAATGAGGGGTGAACATAATCACGACATTTCCACGGGCGAACCTGATGCTCGACTAGTTTTGAAAAATATCAAGGATCTGAGCGGTAGTAATATCCCAACCGTCGCAACCGCAATTCAGCCCATAACAGACGACATTGCCACTCAACTAGCCCTACCAACCAAAGAATATTTAGTTCGCACCGCACAACGAGAGCGCAAGCAACGAGAAGAAGTCTTACCAGTCTCACCAGCAACCAGAAGTTTCGAAATACCCGAACACTTCAAAAAAATCTTAAGATTTGACAGTGGGATGCGGCATCATCGCGTTTATCCAGAACAACAAATGATGCAGGGGGCTGGCATTATGGCATACAGTCATACTTCACTGGATCGCATCCCAGTAAATGGAAAGTGATGGCAAATTAGCAAAAAGACGCTTCCGTCCAAAAACTTAATTTCTATAACGCCTCGAGTGGGAACCAATTTACAAAAAAGAAAAACTACCGGGTGCTCAAGAAAAAAAGTGCAGAATATAAACGGATTTGCAATTCTTCGCGCTATGGCGACCTCGAGTTGAATATTTGTTCTTTGTATATGTTTTCAATTTAAAACTTTGTTTGTCAACTTTTTTGAGAAAAGACGTCTCATTGCAGCTTCTCGGAGCCGTAAAAAACGCATTGACTTGACTCGCATTTGAAAAACGCTGTCTCTAGCAATTTAATCCCGGAACAATCGCTCCTTAGGTTGTGACGCTAGGTTGGGACTAGGGGCTGGCCACCCCTTCAGACATTGAGTTGTATGCCGACAATACAAAAAAAAAGTTGACAAACATAAGATGGTTCGAAAAAATAGATAAGTTTTACTTATTTAAAATGGACCACTTAGATCAAATTTTTGGTCACAACCAGTTCTCATTCCATTTTCATTTGAATTCAGCCAATTACTTTTATTGGCAGGAATTATTTCAAGATCGAGTTCAGTTTTGAAAAAAATCTAATCAGTTTTGGTAACTAATTTGAATCATGTCGATCGGATTCGTTTTCAATTTCATATCAAAGTCTTGACTATCGGCAAGGTCATTTCTGTTCAAATCTAAAATGCATTTAGCAGCGTGCAGGTTAATTCAGTTTGGTTCGCAAAATTTTTGGCAATTGAAGCTTTGATGTTTACCGACGATATGTTTCCGAAACCCTTTCAAGTAAGTTTCAATTTGATTCTAAATATTGGTATTAAAAAGGGGTTAAATTGTAGTGGGGTTATCTAATTTCCGGGTTATATGAGAGGGGGTTAAGAAAAAGGGGGCTAAAAACACGGCGTAATAAGCTTGGGAACCAATCGGGATAGCAATTGTAATTTTAAAATATAGAAGAACTGTTTAATAAAAAATCTAGTTCCGGTTACAGGAACATTGAACTGGCAAGTGTAAAAAATAGCCAACATACAGTTGAAAAAGTCAATGAACGCAAGGAAAAAGAAAAAAACGGAATTGTTTTTTTTTTAAAAAAATCTTAGAATTTCAAAGTAAAAATTGTGAGCTTATAAGTCTTTGATTTTCACAAAAAATTTATGAATGACATTTTTGGACTCAATTTGAGAAAACTGGATCAATAGGTAAAGTTTTAATTCCGTAGGAATATCTGAAAATTAAAGTCTACTTTCGAAATTAGAAATCGATCACATTTTTAGTGTGACCTTTACAATTTTGCTGTTGGATAGTCGAATTTGCCTGCCGCCTTTTAACAAAGGAAATGTACTGAACTTAAAAAGAAAATCAAAAGACAAGCCGCGAAAAAAAATCATCAGGACCCAAATAAGAGTCCTCACTACGTTCACCGACTCTTAAAAATAAAAAACAAGTTTGTACTCAGGCCTTTGACAAAAATTGCAACAAAAATTTATTTGAGAAGGGAAGCAACAAAAAGGAAATATTGATCCGTTGAACTTACATACTCCACAGACTCGACAATGATGCGTTCTTCTAGGTCGGTAGATGTGACACTTATCGCAGTAGCTTCTTTCCTTATAAAACAACAAGCAAAACCATAAGACACTTGAAGCGGAATATTAAGCCTTGTAAAGGATAAACAACTGAAAAACCCACTACGGAATTATTGTTAAGTAATTCAAGGTTGACTTGACCGGCTAGTAAATGTCCGTAAAAACCTCGACTCCAAAAGCTTTAATATAGTGCTGATTTAAATATTTCGGACAAAATGAGTCAAATTTCAAACAATTTTTTCTCAAATTGGGTTGATATTAGACAAAAAAGGATGAAGACCGATTTTGCTCAAATTTTTAACAGAATTATATAGTGGAATTAGTTTATTTTGCAAATTTACCCCAAAAACGATTATTTTTGGCTTTGTTTGGTCAATCAAAAATAACTCAAAACCTATTAGTTCACTTACTGGCAAAACTATCACTACAAGCCTCTTATTTAGCCCAACAAATATTAAGAGATGTATAATTTTTTCAGCTTTGTATAAACATATTTATTTTTGAATGATAGCCAAAAAATGTCATTTTTACTTTATAAAACGCCCATTTTTTAAATCAAATAAATCATTTTTAAATCCTTTTACGCTAACTTTTGGAGATTACACCCTCCTGAATATTTGCTGGGCTACATAAGAGGCTGGCAGTGAAATAATTTTGTCAGTAAATGAACCAATAGGTTCTAAGTAATTTTTGATTGAAAAAAGAGCTAAAAATGATCGTTTTTGGGGTCAATTTTTCGGCGAGTAGTTTGCAAAACAAATTGGTCTTCATCACTAATTGTCCGACATCAACCCAATTTTTAAAAAAAAAAGCGTTTGAAATTTCAGATTTTATTCCTTTAGTCCGGATAATTTAAATCAGCACTGTATGAGCCAGATAACAAGTCTAGTTGCAACAAAAATGATTTTGGCTGATGATGTGTTTTTAAAGCAAAACCCCAAATAAACATCAGTTGTGTTCATGTGATATATCTTATTTGAACCCTATTATTTAAAAAGTGGTATCAAGGCACAGAAAAAAAATTTCGACTAAATTCAATTACTTGCTAAAAATTTCATACAGTAATACTTGACGTTTTAGCCTTGTTATAAGTCCTGGCAAAATGAATTTTGCATCAATATCAAGCAATTGCCGCTGGCAATTTGCCACAAATTTGAAAATACAATTTTACTAGAAAACTCTGCGAAACAAACTGACCCTCCAGCATGTTTTATTCAAACTTTTTATGATATACTCCAGATGAGCCGGTTTCAACAAGTTTTCAAAAAAACATACATCCACAGTTACAAAAGCTATTATTCGACAAATTTTGATTTTCTCAAAGTTCTCTGCCCTTTTATAAATATCATATCATTGACAATTATTTGTACACTCACGGAATTTGAAGTATTTGTACTGTCGCTCGCTCTAGCAGGCAAGAAAAAATTAGTATTAGGGGAAAAAGTACCCCTCTACATCGGAAAAAGGCAACTTCGCAAAATAATGCGCGAGGGCATATCGAGTTTATGGCAACGATGAATATTAGACCAGCAGCCAAAACCAACCTACCTCCTCACGTTCTTGTTACTGGCTGCGCTTCTAGTTCTCAGCCTACTATTCCGAAGTGGAATAGAACAAAACCCTGGGCCAACTACAGGGTCTTTCAGTTAGAATGGTTTTTTTGAAACGTCTATACCTTTTAAATGGAACATTGGATTTAACTGATTCTTTTTACATTTATTATATAACAGATTAAGATTTTTGAACACGTACATAAGAGTTATAATAATTGCTGGAAATGTCCGCCATTTTCTTTAATACAAAGATGTAACCACTTTTCAAAATTTGATGCTGCTTTCACTGCCTGCGCCGGAGTTATTGTTTCACAAGCGTTCTCCACAGTTTGCATAAGATTTGGGACTGTCTGGGGGCTGGCATCAAATATCATTTTACCCAAATGACCCCACAGCCAAAAATCCAATGGATTCAAGTCCGGGCTTTGAGGTGGCCAAGGAATCGCACTCCTCCTGCTTATAATCCTCTTGGAAGAATTGGCTAGAATTTAGACTGCAACATGTCAAGATACGTCTGCTGTTTCAAAGTGACCGGATTGTTTCTTGCATCAACGAACCAGAATGGGCCCAATAAAGTACCTTCAAGCACCCCCACCCAGCACAGCCTTTTTCTTGCCTTGATATTTGCACTGCAATATTTCTCGGGGATTTACAAGGGCCAGGACCCACCATTTTTCATCGGAGAAAATGACAATCGAGGCAAAATCGGTTGTCAAATTGAGCATGTTGATAAACCAAAGGCAAAAAATGTGTCGCATTTGGTATTTGACTGGGGATACTTTCTGGGTTTCAATAATCTTAAATGGCTTTAATTTTAGCTCTTTCGCGATCCTCTATGTTGTTGTTTTTGAGTATCCAAGGTTCGCTGCGGCTTTACTGATTGAGTGGGTAGGGTTTCTTTGGAAGTTAGCTTTAACACGGTTCTTAGCATTGATATATTGCGTTATTCCCGTTCCTTTGCGATTGGAAGTCGCATGGGGTGCTTGATAATCTTCTTGAAATTTTCCCCATACACGAGAAAAATGATGACTTTTCATTCTTGTGCTTTCAAGAGGTGTGACATTGAAGTCCTGGATATATTGCCGGCGTACTAAGGTTGGATTGTCAAGTCTTGCAAATAAGCAAATAATGTGTTTCTTTTGATCAACAGTAAAAGGCTAACATTCAAACACGGTAGAAAACGCTAACTGCATATGCTTACTCAGCCTGGGCAAACATATTTTGTTAGACGTGTGATTTTCCAGCTGTAAAGTTTCCCACGTGTTCAAAATTAGTATAACTCTTATGTACGTGTTCAAAAATCTTAATCTGTTATATAATAAATGTAAAAAGAATCAGTTAAATCCAATGTTCCATTTAAAAGTTAAAGACGTTTTAAAAAACCATTCTAACTGAAAGACCCTGTAACTGCAGCATATGTCACAAAAAAATCGCCCTTGACCAATACAGTTTCTGGTGTCAACTCGGGGAATGATACACATATATGCTTATATCTATCAATGGTCACACATTTTTTAGAGGGAACTATGACTTCTGCAAAATAAAACTCACTGATACCTGTAACAAACAACAACCAACCCCATCCAAATTGGAGCATCAACTAAGAATACTTCAACTCAGCGCAAACGGTCTCAGACTTAAATAAGGCAAAACATTCCATCACATGGCAACAACTGACAACAAAATTGCGGCGATACAACAAATAAGCCTTACCAATTAACTGAAGCCACCTAATGGATACCAAATCGTCACACAAAACAGACCAACAAATCGCGGCAAATGAGGCAGACTTGCACTCATTATCAAGAATGACATCAAACACAAGACACTTGAACTCAGAGCTATCCCCACAGAACTATCCCCTCAGAGCAACAAACAATTAAAATAATAACTAAAACTAATAACTAACACCTATATCCTGCCATACTCAGGTTGCAGCCCGGTTACTCGGAGTCACTTCAAAACCTACCAACGAACACATATGCGCTTAATTTAGGTGACATCAACGCCTATAATGCGATATGGTTCTCCGAACTACTACCTGACCCACGCGGCTTAAAACTAGCAGAAGAAATGGACGCTTCAGACTGTCGTACACAAAGAACACACCCCCACCGGCAAAATTAACACCATAATTTTTTCTGACATAAGCCTAGCAAGGCAATCAAAAACCTACAAATTTTTTTTAAAGAACAATCAAGAAAACCTACATATTTTTTTAAAACCTGGCTGGAAAAGCTTTTGGGAAGACTAAAAAAGCATCCATCAAATTAGTTTTGCCTAAATGAAAGATCAACGGCGATAAAAACCTTTCGAAAAATAATACGCGGCGCGGCATCTATACATACCACAAGGTTGCATTGAGGAGGTGAAGTCGAACTTTATAAGATACATTGCAGATGAGCCGGTTTCAGTGAGTTTTCAGAAAACCATACCACCAGTTACACAAGCTTTTATTCGAAAAAAAATTGATCTTCTGAAATTTCTCTGCCGTTTTATCAAAATTATATCATTGAAAATTATTTGTACACTCACGGGATTTGAAGCTTTTGTACAGTCATTCGCTCTAGTAGACCGGAAGTTGTTATCATTTGGGCAGGTACCCCTCTGCATCGGAAATAGGCAACTTCGCAAAATAATGCGCGAGGGCATATCGAGTTTATGACAACGATGAATACTAGACCAGCAGCCAAAACCAGCCTACCTCCTCACGTTCTTGTTACTGGCTGGGCTTCTAGTTCTCAGCCTACTTTTCCGAAGCGGAATAGAACGAAACCCTGGCACAACTAACTGCAGCATATGTCACAGAAAATTCGCCTTTAACCAATACAGTTTCTGGTTTCATTTTGGGTGATGGATTCACCTTCAATTCTTTTATTTATCAATCAATGGTCACGCATTTTTTAACGGGATCTGTCACTTCTGCAAAATAAACCTCACTGATACCGGTAACAAACAAGAACCAACATTATCCAAAATAGAGCATCAACTTAGAGTACTTCAACTCAGCGCAAACAGTCTCAGACCTAAACTAGGCGATATAATCTATCACATGGCAGCAACTGACTTCAAAACTGCAGCGCTACAAAAAAAAAACATTTCTTTCCAAATAACAAAAGTCACCTAATGGATAGCAAATCGTCGCACAAAACAGACCAACAAACCGCCGCAAATGAGGCGGACTTGCAATCCTTATCAAGAATGGCATCAAATACCAGACACTTAACTCCCACAGAAAGATCCCCTCAGAGCAACAAACAATTAAAACTAAAACTAATGAATAACACCTATATCCTGCCACATTCAGGTTGCAGCCCGGTTACTCAGTCACTTCTAAACCTACCAACGAACACAGATGCGCTTAATTTAGGTGACATCAACGCCTATAATGCGATATGGTTCTCCGAACTATTACCTGACCCACGCGACTTACAACTAGCAGAAGAAATGGACGCTTCAGACTGTCGT